GCTAGTTGATCACGTGACTTCATTCGTTGGACTACATTCTAGCAGACGACACTTGGAATTCCGATTACCGCTTGGGATTATAAGGAAATTCGGCCGATAAAAAATGGTGACGTTTGGTAATAACTGAAATCCGCCATTTTGTATTTGTCAAAGTATACATTAATACTTTTTACCTTGCTTGAAACTACTGGATTCATTCTACAGGCTGACATTGTAGAGAAAACCCATGTTTATCAAAACAAACAAATGCGGAGGTCGCGCAAGGTCGCTCATGTAAATTATTAATCCTTTCCGGAAATCCACGAATAATAGGTTTCCACGAAATTAGGTTACTTGACTGTATTAATATTATATAAATATACATTATTCACTATAGGATGAAAGTGTTGAACAAAACAAATAGTTCCATTTACTTTTGATAATATCATCTGATCTAAAAGTCTTAACTTCAATTTGGGCCACGTCTTGGAGGCATAAATAGTAATTTTGATCATTGGTACTTGACATTGAAGCTTTAATTTGTACAGAAAATATTTTGTCAGTATAATAGCATGATTCACAAATAAAAATTCTGCTATATTTTTAAAATCATATGTACAAGAATACCCAAAATGAATGTATATTGGACAAACATTTACATCAATGCCCTTCTTATCGAAAATTCTTACAGTTTCGTCCCAGATTATTTTTGAGTACGAACACTGCACAAAGACATGCTCAATAGTTTCTATACAACTGTCACAAAATGTACATAAGGTGGTCTCAGATAAATGTAATTTAAAAAGTTTAAAGTTAAGAGGCATAACAATGTAAATATCTGTATTGAAAGTTTTGTAATTTTGTTCTTTTACATACCTATCTTACATTGTTAAAAGCATGCGTCAGAAAATCATCCTGAAATGTTTCTCCTAATTTTTCCTCCCATTTAAGTATTCCCGTTGGCTTTTAACATTTTAATCTTATATTATAATCATAGATGTGCTTCGGTTGAATATTACCTATGTATCTCTATAGACTGAATTTACCATTAAATCTATGGTGTTTTAAAAAATTAGGTCCTCTTCCTCATCATCGCGTTTCTTCTCATCAATTTAATTTTATCATACATATCGTTCTTATCATAAATATAATACTGTGTGCTTGATTATTATAAATAAAACTGTCTATTAACTAGCAGTAAACCTACATTGCTCAAAAGTGTATAATTAATATCAAAGGGACAAAATTTATTATTATATATAATTTGATTTTTAAATTGTATGTATTTATCAATGTGCTAAAAATATCTCTCCAATTTTCAAACAAATATGTATAACAAGGTGACAATGTATATAATCTGCTAAAATTACATAAGTGCGCTATTATTCCATTGTAATCTTTTAAGAATATCTTATAGGTTGTTATCCATGTTTGATCATCCTCAGCATACATTTTTATAATCCAAAAAACACATTAAGATTTTATAAATTCCTGTAAATTTATCATACGCAAGCCGTCTATATCACACTTTTGAATGAAAACTTCTCTTTTAATTTTGTCTGTACCAATCCAAATAAAGTTATAAAATAAGGTATTGAATTTCTGAATGATAGTTTTCGATATTGGCAAGGATAAGAATTGGTATGCTATTTTAGGAATACAGAAGGTTTTGATAATTTGAATTTTTCCAATAAGCGTTAAGTTTCTACTTTTCCATCTATTTATTATTGTTTCGATTTCTGTCAACTTCGTGTGGTAATTTAAATGATTCGTTAGATTTTCATCATGAGAAAAATATGTGCCAATATCTTGTTAGATTTATGATTAATTTTAATTCCAAATGATGATAAATTTTCCCTAATATTCATTTCATCACAGTTCAAAATAAAAGCTTCGGTTTTAGCAGTGTTAATAGTTAGACCAGAATATTGACTAAATAGCTGTAGATCTTCTAATAGGTGTCGAGCAGATTTAAAATCCCACAGGGAGCAGGTGATATCATCAGATTTAAAATCCCACAGGGAGCAGGTGATATCATCAGATTTAAAATCCCACAGGGAGCAGGTGATATCATCAGATTTAAAATCCCACAGGGAGCAGGTGATATCATCAGACTTAAAATCCCACAGGGAGCAGGTGATATCATCAGATTTAAAATCCCACAGGGAGCAGGTGATATCATCAGATTTAAAATCCCACAGGAAGCAGGTGATATCATCAGCAAACGCTGTTAGTTTTATTTCCGTTTCGCCAAAGTTTATGCCTTGAATATTTTCATTATTTCTTATTATATTACGTAATATCTCAATAACCAAATTAAAGAAATTTGAAGACTTAGGGTCACTCTGTCTTACTCCGGATTGTACCTTTAAAAATTTGGTTGCGAAACCGTTATTAAATACTGAACATTGTATATCCTTATACAATAGTTTTATCCATCTTATAAATACATTTTTAAAACCGTTAAATTTGAGGGCTTCAAACATGAGCAAATAGTTTAAGCTCTCATAGGCCTGTCTAAAATCAATTGCCAGTAGAATTTCTTTCTTGTTTTCTTGTTCTTTGCTAATTGAAAAGCCTCATCTATATTAATCTTATATTTTCCTGTATATGGCGATTTTGGATAAAAGCAGTTTGATTTCGATTTATTAATTTTGACAGTTACATAGAATCTTACTTGCAATTTTTATATCTACAGTTAGACAATTCAGACTTATTTTTACCTGGTTTGGGTATCAACTTGATTATACTTTGTCTTCGACTTGGAGAAAAACAACCATTTTCAAAACTTTCAAAAAAATCATTTAAAATATAAGTGCTTATGTGTGGCAAAAGAAAACGATAAAATTCCGAAGCCAATCCATCGTTTCCAGGGTTTTCCATCTTTTAACAGCTTTATGGTCTCATCGCATTCAAAATAATCGATTTTATGTTCGAGTATGCCAGCTTCGTAATCGGATAATGTACATTGTCAAAATTTAGAATTTTGTTTCAGCAAATTTATTAGCTGGGATTGCTTAACCGTATAAATTTCCGAATAATAATCAAAAATATATTTTAAAATTTCCTTTTGTTCTAATAAGATTTTGTGTTCGGTTTTAATATATGAAATTGTTGTGTTCTTTATATTCTGTTTTTTAAGACCAAGAAAATAAGCATTGTTTTTTTCATTTAAATCGTATTTTTTTATTTTTTATCTTAATATTGAGCCCTGAGCTTCTTCATCGTAGTGTTGTGCGCACTTTTAAATAAGTTTCATTATCAAAATTTATTTCGCCAAGCTTATTTTCTAATGAATTCAAGTATTTATTCATTAACAAAATTTTATTATTGGTGATAAAATGGTGGAGATGATTTTTATTTAATGGTTTGTTCAATAGATGGGGGATTTCTTAATCTCCATCAGAGTTTTCAGTTTCATTTCTTCTATTAGTTTTTCTCTTTCTTCATTTTCTATCTTTTTCTATCTTCTATCTTAACATCAATAACTCACTGGGTAGATCCAAACTCTCAAATAAAAATTTTACTGGTTAAATATAAAATTAAATACACAGTTCATAATCAGCACTATTTCTTTTTAATATTCTCAAAAATTAGGTCAGAACTTTGTACTATTTATTTAGTCAATCAAAGTTTAGTGTATTGAGATTTTAAATAGTAGTTTTATATTTCGCTGATATCCTGTTAATATGAAGGAGGATACTCACCAGCATTTTTCCTCCTACTTGGTCTTGAAGTTTCTGAAAAGAAACCATAATGTGTCTTACTGAGCAATGTGCACCACAAGGTTTTTCAACTTATTTCCTCCTAGCCTCTTACAAAACTAATCCTGGAGAAAAAATCGAGATTTTATGAAAAAGTGTAATCTTATATGCTGATAAAACTAAATTTAACAGCAATTTTAGTAATTGACAAATCAAATGAAGCACTTGCTAAAATCAGGATGTCCATGTGTTTTACCTGTCAGGATGTCCATGTGTTTTATCGTGAAAGATGTCCAGAAGTATACTAATAACTTTTTTTTACACAATAAGTGTTGAACAACCATCAGTTATAATTTATCCAAAATATCATCTAAAATCACTAACTAATTTATGATATGTACCTAAACAAAATGGCTTGTTACATTTTAGTAATAGAGTTAGCTCTTAAACAAAGGGAAATGAGAAACAATAGAATCAATGGGGGTATTTGTTTTTTTTTTGTACATGGAATCAGTGCACTTGTGGATTTTTATTCCTAGAACTTCGTGTATAAAAGTTTAGCTAATTTGTTTTATATTTTTTTTACTAAGAACTCCAGCTGGACCCGTTTGTCAAAAATTCGTAGGTTCATTCGTGGACGAGAAGTCGAGGGTAATATGGCCGCAGCCGGCTTCCATAAGGAAAAAGGTCAGAAAGAGAGGAGAAAGCGAGGAAACAGGCGAGAAGGCGCGAAAGTGAGGAAAAGGGCGAGAAAGCGAGGAAAAGGGCGCAAAAGCGAGGAAAAGTGCGAAAAAGCGGGGAAAAAGGCGAGGAAAAAGGCGAGGAAAAAGGCGAGAAAAAAGGCTAGGAAAAAGGCGAGAAAAAAGGCGAGGAAAAAGGCGAGAAAAAAGGCGAGGAAAAAGGCGAGAAAAATGGCGAGAAAAATGGCTAGAAGGCGAGGAAAAAGGCGAGAAGGCGCGAAAGTGAGGAAAAGGGCGAGAAAGCGAGGAAAAGGGCGCAAAAGCGAGGAAAAGTGCGAAAAAGCGGGGAAAAAGGCGAGGAAAAAGGCGAGGAAAAAGGCGAGAAAAAAGGCTAGGAAAAAGGCGAGAAAAAAGGCGAGGAAAAAGGCGAGGAAAAAGGCGAGGAAAAAGGCGAGGAAAAATGCGAGAAAAATGGCGAGAAAAATGGCTAGAAGGCGAGGAAAAAGGCGAGAAGGCTAGAAAGCAAGAAAAAAGGCTAGAAGTGAGGAAAAAGGCGAGAAAGCGAGTAAAAAGGCGAGAAAGCGAGGAAAAGGGCGAGAAAGCGAGGAAAAAGGCGAGAAAGCGAGGAAAAGGGCGAGAAAGGCGAAGAAAAAGGCGAGGAAAAAGGCGAGTAAGCGAGGGTAAGAAATAGGCGAGAAAAAAGGCGAGAAAAAAGGCGAGGAAAAAGGCGAGAAAAAAGCCGAGAAAAAAGGCGAGAAAGCGAGGGTAAAAAAAGCGAGAAAAAAGGCGAGGAAAAAGCCGAGAAAAAAGGCGAGAAAGCGAGGGTAAAAAAGCCGAGGAAAAAGCCGAGAAAAAAAGCGAGAAAAAAGGCGAGAAAAAAAGCGAGAAAAAAGGCGAGGGTAAAAAAAGTGAGAAAAAAGGCGAGGAAAAAGCCGAGAAAAAAGCCGAGAAAAAAAGCGTGAAAAAAAGCGAGAAAAAAGCCGAGAAAAAAAGCGAGGAAAAAGCCGAGAAAAAAGCCGAGAAAAACAGCGAGAAAAAAAGCAAGAAAAAAAGCGAGAAAAAAGCCGAGAAAAAAAGCGAGAAAAAAGGCGAGGAAAAAGGCGAGAAAAAAGGCGAGGGTAAAAAAAGCGAGAACAAAAGGCGAGGGTAAAAAAAGCGAGAACAAAAGGCGAGGAAAAAGCCGAGAAAGCGAGGGTAAAAAAAGCGAGAAAAAAGGCGAGGAAAAAGGCGAGAAAGAAGGCGAGGAAATAGCCGAGGAAAAAAGCGAGAAAGCGAGGAAAAGCGAGAAAAAAGGCGAGAAAGCGAGGGTAAAAAAAGCGAGAAAAAAGGCGAGAAAGAAGGCGAGGAAATAGCCGAGGAAAAACGCGAGAAAGCGAGAGTAAAAAAGGCGAGTCGTCTCTCGTGGGTAATATGGCCGCAGTCGGCTTCCATAATTTTTGTGACTTTGCAGTTCAACCTCCACCCTTACCCCCATACCAAAACTCCTCGGATTTCGGCCACTCGATTTTCAGATTCAAGACATTATCGTATAAAGATGAGAAAAAAAATTGGAATGAAAAAAAATAACAGTTTATGGGCCAAGGTCCCCCCCGCTCCGCGGCCTCTGCTTAATTACTTAATTTTAACTGCACCGTTGTTTATTACCTTTATAGTTGATGGGTATTACATTTATGGTGGGTTTTGGTTATTACATTTATGGTTAAATATTATTACATTTATGGTGGGGTTAGTTATTACATTTATGGTTGATGACTATTACATTTATGGTGGGTATTACATTTATGGTTGATTTTTGTTACATTTATGGTGGGTATTACATTTATAGTGGGTATTACATTTATGGGTAATACAGCTCGAATATTGGTTGATGTATTGATTTTCAGGTTCATAGCGATCAGTCTACAGCCAGAGGCACCTGGCACCCATTAATTTTAATGTTTACGTTAACCTACGAATTTTTGAAAAACAGGTCCAGCTGGAGTTCTTAGTAAAAAAATATAAAACAAATTAGCTAAACTTTTGTACACGAAGTTCTAGGAATAAAAAGCCACAAGTGAACATCTTTCCCGGTAAAACACGTGGATATCATGACAGTTAACAAAATGGACATCCTGACAGGTAAAACATGAACATCCTGACAGGTAAAACACATGGACATCCTGACAGGTAAAACATGGACATCCTGGCAGGTAAAACATGGACATCCTGGCAGGTACAACACATGGACATCCTGACAGGTGTAAAACATGGACATCCTGGCAGGTACAACACATGGACATCCTGACAGGTGAAACACATGGACATCCGGACAGGTAAAATACATGGACATCCTGACAGGTAAAACACATGGACATTCTGACAGGTAAAATACATGGACATTCTGACAGGTAAAAACATGGACATTCTGACAGGTAAAACACATGGACATTCTGACAGGTAAAACACATGGACATTCTGACAGGTAAAACACATGGACATCATGGACATCCTGACAGGTAAAATACATGGACATCTTAACAGGTAAAGCATATGGACATCCTGACAGGTAAAAGACATTGACATCTTGACAGGTAAAACATATGGACATCTTGACAGTCTAACATCTAGTAAGTTATAACATCTAAACTATCATCTCTAAGTTTGCACTCAAAATGGTGTACTCCCTCATTATATTTTCCAGTTTACGGATATATTACTAGAGGTGTAGGCTGGATTATTTATCACTTGTAGCTTGGACAGGTATTAGTTTAGACTTTTCTTCTCTCTGTTGATTTAGACTTTCAATAGATTTATCATGGCGATCGATAACCATTTTGTTAGTTTGGTTTATAATTTCAAGTCCCGTAACTCGTTCTGCAACTAGTCGATGTTCTGTATGTAAATCATTACACTGTTTAATCTGTTCGTCAACCTTTTTTCTCAAATTGGTAACACTTGTTTTTAGATCGTCGAATTTTTCGTTTTGCTTGTCCAATTTTTCGCTTTGCTTGTCCAATTTTTCGCTTTGCTTGTCCAATTTCTTGTGTTGGTAGTCGGATGTCTTGTCCAATTTTTCGTTTTGCCTGTCCAGTTTCTTGTTTACCTCGTCGAATTTCTTGTTTATCTCGTCGAATCTCCCGTCGAATTTCTTGTTTGCATCATCGAATTTCTTGTTTACATCATCGAATTTCTTGCTTTGGTCGCTGAATCCCTGGACCAGGCATCGAAGGAGGCCCCCATACCCACCCTCTGTCGATTCAGGTCGAGGATCCATGGCCAATACGATAGATACGATACGATAAGATAGATTACACTGATAACTGTAAAATAAACAAGAGGCATACTTTTGAAAGACGCACCTTTCTAACACCAATAATAACTGAACCATAAAAAAATGATGTGAAAGAGATCATTATTTTTTTTTATGCGCTCACATGGAAATATGGACATATATTGCCCCTGTCGTTCCGCCCGTCCGTTCACATTTCTTGTAAATAGGAGCTACAGTTGTTATCCGAACTTAATGAAACTTGGTATGCGTGTATATATTGATGAAATCTCAATCAAATTTGTGAAGGTATATCAATTGATCATGTTCGAAAATAAAAACAAACAGATTTTGGTTTTTGTCCTTGTCAAATATAGTTTTAAAATATGTTACCGGTAAACCTTATACAATCTTTTTAAAACTTGGTATGCCTACATGTATTGATTACGATATTTTGTTAGGACTTGCCTTTGACTATAAATATCATAGATATCATAGTGTTTATCAAACTTTGATGAAATTTGAAATAAATCTGTATGTTGTTCACGCTTGAATTTGATGATAATTTGATAAACTGTTCTGTACAAAAATTGAGAAAAACTGGAACATCTAAGGAATCCACAAGCACACAAAATTATCTTAATTTTTTCCATTTTCCTGAAGGATTTTTATAGAAGTGAATAAAATTTTAGAATTTACCTTTCAGATTCTAAATCAGGTAGAATATTCTGTATATAACTTCAATATTTCTTCTCAGAGAAGTAATTCTGCAGATGTTTCTTTCAAAATGTTTTTTCAAATATTCTGTTGTGTTATTTATATTCTTTGCATAGAGAAAGAAAATATGAACTCGTCCGAGACAATAAATAATAATAATAATAATAATTTCTTTATTTGGTAATCAATTAGGACTTTGCCTTTCTAACAATGAGTCCATATAAAAATACATAACTACCAGTAACACATGTACAACAATAAAAGTTATATACAGTTAGTAATAAGCCTATAATTACTCTAGAAAGAGAATTGAATTGACACCTATTTTAGTGATTTAATCATTGCCAATTTCAATTCCCAAAAGGGGTATTAACAATTTAAAAAAAAACAACCAATTCGGAATGTTAAGGTGCGGGCACACGAACGGTCTTGTTTGGAGATTTTTGTCACGACTAGAGTCTTGTCAAGAGTCAGTCTAATTGATATTAGACCTAACAACCGTTCGTATTTTATTAGTTTCGTTTCGAATGTTTTATTAGCTATTAGCTTCGTACGTAACCACTACAGTAAGGTCTAACACTGTCCTTCTTGACTTTTCATTCTGTTAACCTTTGCTTGACCTCTGTTTTAACCAATCACGTGGCAACCCTTTCCAGCGACGGGTAAATGTGACGCGAACAATATGTTCATTACGAGGCGTATTGGACTAGCAAACTTGATAAGCTTGATTGGTTAAAACAAACAAAAGGATAACAGAATGAAAAGTCAAGAAGGACAATGTTAGACCTTACTGTAGTGGTTACGTACAAAGCTAATAGCTAATAAAACATTCTTAACGAAAATAATAAAACACGAACGGAAGTTAGGTCTAATTTTAATTAGACAGGTCAAAAGTTTCACCAGTCGGTCGTTTTCCATCATGTTGATAATCACGTGCGGAGCATGCAATTGAAAGGGAATGAATCTGATTGGATGATGATGGTCTGTCTTGCAGACGATAAAACTATCGGAGACAATTATCAAATATGTTAGATAAACATCCAGTCGGGAACGCAATAATCTTGTGGTAGAAGCACGGACTATACTCAAGATTCGAGTCGGGGACAAAAATCGCCGCACCTTTAAACTCTCTATGTTTAACTTTTCAAACGGGCTTTACAAATTCTACATTTTAATAACGTCATAATGTATGTATTGTTAAACTGATATATCACATAAGATCTATTTTTTATATCTCATTGGTGCAGATACAGTCATATAATAATAATAATTTAAAATACATCCTACATTTAACATAATAACAAGCATGGTAGATATAACATAAAAACAATAGTCCATAATAAAGAACCTCAATGTACGCAATTAATCTAAGAATACAAAATATAGTGTAGAAAGCCTTTTGGAACAGTTCGGTTTTTAAGTTTTTCTTAAATACATCATATGTTGAACTTGATTTAGTGAAAAGAGAGAGTGAATTCCAGAGTTTCGGAGCTGCACATCTAAAAGAACGTTATCCAAGTTTACTATTAGCACGTTCCAAGCGATTCTGACAAACTGAACGGAGATTGCAAAGGGGCTCATAGTGCTTGATGAGGGACGTTAAATATTTTGGAGCTCCAGGACAGTTTAGGGCAAGATATGTTAGGGAAAGTATTTTGAATTCAATGCGGTATGGGATTGGGAGCCAGTGAATTTAAGTGAGGGAATCATTCTGGCAGCTTTATTTTGAATAAGAGTGAGTGGGCGTATAGCTGGGAGTCCATAGAGAAGTGAATTACAATAATCCAGTTTTGATGGAATAAAATTATTGACAAGTTTCTTTGTTGTTTCATAATCAATGTAGGATCTTATTCTACCAATGTTGTATAGATGAAAGTTACAAGATTACATATAGCAGATATCTTAGATTTCATATCCATATTACTATCAAAGTTCGCACCCAAACTCCTAAATACATTATTTGTATTGATATTTGAGTCACCGATAGACAAATCCTTTGTTCCAATTTGTTTCAGTTCTTTATCAGTACCTAATTTAATAAATTCGGTTTTGTCATCATTTAGCTTAACGTACACATGCAATCGCAGGTAACAAGATTAAACAAGATTATACAAGATTATACAAGATTATACAGTGAGATCATATTTTACCTACAATATAAATGGGTATTGTCGACTAAATTTGTGTCTTATGCAAGAATCTATTTATAAATTTGAATTAATGCGTTGTTGCTAGGACTCTTTCAAAAATATTAAAATTGAATTTTATGAACACTTCAAAGGTGACATTTCAAACTTATTAGGTCTTTACATACGTTAGTCCTATGTAAGGCCTAATAGCCTACGGAAATAAAAAAATTAAATGACGTCGTATTATGACAATAACTTCAGTGAACAATGAAAGAATACAGTTATGTTTTGAAAACAACTTGCTATCCAAGCACACGATTACAAAATATTATATTATAAAAAGTGGAATTGAATAGGCTTTGATTTTGAACAGCATGCCTTATCCAAACACGGATATTGGATGTCGAGTTGTCACGTCGATTTGCTGAAAGTCTAATTGTCATCTGAAAACTAAGACGCATAAAAACTGTTTGCTCTTAGAGAGACAGAAATGAATGCTCCCTTTTTTCCAAGGCTTAAGGCTATAATCATTGCGTATTGATGAGTAGATTACATCATTTGTGGTATAAATGTTACGTGAACAGAGGTTGTTGAGAAGTTAGCGTACATTAACGTGACATCTTGACGCTTTAAATAATGTTTGAATCTGTAATATTTTTATATTTCTCAACAAATCGTACGACTTACGACTTAAGACTAAATTTAGTAAGTGAAACATATCATTGATTAGCTAAGCTAGAAAATTCCCATTTTTTTTTAGAATAAAGTGGGATTAGTCAAGCGAATGGAAACTATCCCTTAAAACGAGAATATAACAGAGTCGAAATAATATAATAATAACTTATATCAATACTGTGTTTTTATTGTTTTAATAGATTTCCAATTCATGGTCGAGTTGATTTCTATAATCATTATTGATCTATCGATTATTTGATTGTTTGATTGGCCTTGATTTGAAATGTAAACATTGATTGGTAAACAGCTGGGTGAATTCAAGTTCAGGGGATTTTTATCGTGGACAAATATTATTTCATTTAAGTGTAGAAATCTGGTTATTGTACATCAAATGTCTGAAATAAAACAACTAGCTTTTAGAATATTATCTAAATCTGTTTCGTATACCCTTACCAAATATCCCAACTTACAAAACTGCTATGTGGCGTGTTCGAAGGTTGGAAAACTTCGTATACAACTAAAAAAAAAAAAATGGAAAAAAAAACAATTGGAATGGTGCAATTCGCTGCTATCAAAGTCCACGTTACACATGAAAGTTTTAAAAAACCTATTTATATTCTCTTTTACAACTGATTTAAATGCAAATCAAAATAACTTCGTTCTACGGGTTGTTTTCTGTGGTTTTCCCATGTTCTTTTAGCAACGGTACGATGATAATGATCAACTAGCTGTGAATAATGATCGTACCGTTGCTAAAAGAACGTGCGGTTTCCCGCAGTTTTGTTGACGATGATGTGTGTTTCTTAAACAATTTTCCACCTTCTTTGAACCTGAACGACTCTCTGTAAGACGTCTAATATGGACAATTTAATTCTAGAAATTTTAGACTAGACAAGAGCTCGAGATTTATCCAGAAAAATATCATAAAAGATGAAGTAAATACGTGTAGAAGCTTCGAATATCCTTCTCACAAGGATAGAAAAAACGTTGTTATTCTACAGACTACATCATCAAAATAACTCGTACATCAAAGTGATTTAGTGGTCTTCATATTTCTCCACGTGTTATTTCCGTGTAAGAACCATACGTAGTTTCGTATCCATATTTCACAGAACTCTATTCATTTTATTCGACAGTCACAGTTGTATAAATATTGTTCATTAGAATGTATCCAACAGAGTTCAAGGCTGTTCCAGGAAGATATATTAACAAGGTCAAGGACTATTGACTCTCAATGCTGCCGAGTGAAGTGATGCTTGATAAGCTGATTATGAAAGAATCGAGATAAAGGAACCCATTGAATTCCTGTCAGTCAAGGCTATTGATACGGTGTATTAACGCCACTCAAAATCAAACGTGGGTCGGAGACAAAGAGAAGATTCGAGTCAATGTCAGATCACGTTGATACTGTAACCAATGGCTTTTCTATTAATGCTTAGGGTGGATAGATGCGGGGGCATAGTAAGTGTAGGAGTTGCTTTGCAACCGGGGTCCATATCGAATTCGAAATGAAATTGAGAATGTGGGGAATTGGGGTGAATAATATACAAAAGGGTTTAAGAGCTCATATTTCCACCTGGAACAAAGCACCAGTTCATGTGGCTTAACAAAGAAGTCGTCAAAATTTGATTTTTTGTATAAATATAGAAAGCCATGACTTGTATTTCTAAAATATAAGTTTGAAAAAATACATTACTAGCATATTTCAGTTTTTAAATTAATGTTTTACAGTGCAAGGGGTGAATGACAGAGTATTTGTTTTCACAAAATACACCTGTAGGTATTACAATAGCGTCTAATACCTTGATATCAGTAGCCCTTTTCTTGTATCACAGATTGTAGCTATCAAATCAGATCATTTTTGTTTGAGTTTTGTTGTTGTTGTATTTCTGCAAGAGCTCTGATTGGCTATATTCGCTAGCGTACAATCAAATCAAATCGCTGCATTTGCAAACTTATGCCTACTGATGTCAAGGTACAAGGTACCATGTGAGGATGAAGCTAGTAATGCCTAGACATTATGAAGGCGTAGTTCGTAATACCTTGACATTGTGACGACGTAGTTCGTAATACCTTGACATTATGAAGGCGTAGTTCGTAATACCTTGACATTGTGACGACGTAGTTAATAATACATTGATATTGTGAAGACGTAGTTCGTAATACCTTGATATTGTGACGACGTAGTTCGTAATACTTTGACATTGTGAAGACGTAGTTCGTAATACCTTGATATTGTGACGACGTAGTTCGTAATACATTGATATTGTGAAGACGTAGTTCGTTATACCTTGGTACTGTGAAGACGTAGTTCGTAAAAGCTTGATATTATTGTGAAGACGTAGTTTGTAATACCTTGACATTGTGAAGATAGTGTCTCAACCTTGCTTATATAATGCATTTTCACCAACTCTAGAATACCTTACCATTTAAATTCTTATAAATATGGAAATAAACTGTACAGTTTAATGGTAATATACAGGTAGAGCTTGTTTTAAACATTGTCAAGCTTAAACAATACCTGTACACACCCTACCGTGACAATACAGGATCTAGTTTACTGTAATTCATCTAGCAAGTACATTGTTAGTATTCCTGCAGTGTTGTGTGTTAGCGATTCTTCAATCGTTCTCTTGTTTGTTCGTTCGTTCGCTCATTCATTCATTTATTCTTTGGTTCGTTCATTCAATATCTTTTTCCTTGGTTTATTCTTTCGTAATTTGTACATTTTCATTCATTCGATCTCTTGCGCCTTGCTTTGCTCTTTCGTTTCTTCGTTCTGTTGTTACTTGGTTCATTCATTCATGTACATAATGCAGATGACGGGGCCTGTATATAAATACTAATTATTACAATAATCCATGGTACCTGTGTTTATCGATCTCTGCCAACACGCGCTGGTAATAATCAGCTATCATAGATACAAACTTGTCATGAAGTTCTGGTGAAAACTTTATATTATACTTTTATCTCTCGTATCGGACCGTTTCATTTTTCAAATTGACTGACAACCAGCATGTAGGATTTAATATTAAACTATCGGGCACCTGCTCAAAATACGACAATGTGTTAAAATATGGAAAATATTTCATTAGAATTAAACAGGACCATGTACCAGGAAGATAATTTCTCTGCGCTAATTGGGAATAATTCCGAGACTTCCAGGAACAATTCTCTGGATGTGGATATTGATAAGTTTTTGGTATCGTTTTTAGGAGCTCGTCGGAAGGATTTGTTATCAGTTGTTATTCTAACTGTGGTGTATTGTATAATATTTCTAACAGGGGTGATTGGAAACCTCAGTACCTGTATCGTTATAGCTAAAAATAATTACATGCAAACAGTGACCAACTATTACCTATTCAGTTTAGCTGTGTCGGATTTGTTAACATTATTGTTAGGTAAGTCAGCTTTTTGTATTTTCAATAACCTAAATCAAACATAACATTTCTCCAATGAAGTGGCAGGACCGTCTTAGGTCTGTGTACATAATACAAAGTTTATTTGAAGTTGAATACCTAGAAGACAAATCCCATAAACAGCCCTTAGTCCAATTCAAACCGTCACTTCCTTACAGACTTTACTTACAGTTAAAATACCTTGAAAACATAAACATAGAAAAGCGTATGGTCATAGTCAATCCATCACTTTATTTGAAGTAAAATACCTAGAAAAATAGCCATAGAAAAGCCGGTAGTCAAAACAAACATTACCGAAATGAGACTTTTCGAAGCTAGTTTAAAACCTAAACACCAAATAAATTAAATCCAATGAGTAGCTCTTATAGTTCGTATGTATGGGAGAAAAAAACACCGCTTCCTGAAATGTAAAAATGATTTAAATTATCACATTTATAAAATATCAGCTGTTATACTAACACTTTCAATCTCTGTTAAGAACCCATCAGATCAGACATAATGTCTTTAGAATATCTTTCGCTAACCTGAAAGTCCAGGGTTCAATCCCGGCATTGGTCGAGATAATAACTTTTGATTTTTCAACCCGGTTTTCCCCTGTCAGTGATGCAGGTAAGAGGGGCTGACATGGAAAAAGCGTCTAGTCGTTCAGATGGTACAATAAACCGAGGCCCTGTGTGCTACAGGCTGTGCACGTTAAAGATCACTCGACAGTTGGAAATCGAAAAAGAGCAAGCTAATGCCGCTGTATTGGGAAAATTTCACTCATTGCACCCTGCATGGCGTTGCCCGTCTTCATTAGCCCGCATGGTGCAGAAAAGTAGGCCGTAAAACTTCATTTCATTTAGGAATTCGATTTGTTAAAAATATTCGTCATTTGCAGACGTGGGGCCTCTTTTCGCCCTGGACCCTCGGAACGCGTCCGGTGGCTCGACCCCTCAGTCCACCCTCAATGCAAAGTCATTCATAATACTTTTAGTACTGTTTTGTAGTTTTGTTGCTGATATTCAAATTAACTTTTTAAAACATCGGCAAATCTTTGAAATATGTAAAATATAATCATACGAATGGCATTAGAGCAGTGATTTCGATCCTTAAATAATATGAATTATATTAATATTATAGGAGAATACAATCGGGCATCAATTTAAAAAAATACAGTTATAATATAGGATAATCGGGCAGAGATATGATTTCATGTTTAAATTCCAAAATAAAAAAAAAAAATCGGGCCGTTCAAAAAAAAATTTTTTTTAATGCCTTGCCCGCAAAACTAGCCTTCGGGGACCCTCATGTTCACTTGTAATTGTTGAAAGGGAAGTGTGTTTCTCTTTAATGTCATTCTATCAAACTATTAGCACTATCTTATAGTTGATATTCATACTCAATTTTAGAATAGCAAAACAATTCCATTCAGGCTATACCACAGGAATACAGTAGTTAATAAAAACATTTACTGAGGCTATATTCTTGAAAATTGAACTTAGGATGATTTTAGTGTTCCATTCATCTGATTGGTCAATCATTAAAATTGAATTTAAATTTAGCTTTATTATTCAATAAGATTACAGTATTTCTTAAAATCTGGATTTTATTCAAGTTAAGTTTTGGAGAATAAGGTCCTAGAGTGGTATCAGTTACATGCAATTCTTCCGGACATTATTGTCATAGAGACAGGTTCACCAATCGTAATTTAGTCCCAGAAACGGGATTTATTTTTAGCAAAGTTAATCAGTAATAGTGTTCGCTGTTCATCGAAATTTGAGCCTTCAAATCTATGTGTGTCTAGAATTATCCGCCTTTGAGAGTTAAAATGACGAGTCGTCTTTTCTTGATACACTGTCATATATAGAAAAAGAAAGTGAAAATCCCTGTTTGAGGTATATTTGAAGGAATTAAATGCGATTTCTAGTGATTTTGAAGACTATTTACATCATCCCCCGAAAATGACCAATTTGCCCTTTAAAAACCATTGTTCAGATAATTAACCTACAGGGATCCGGACTACGCTGTTATGACATGTTGTCCCTGAACACCACCTATCAACGGATTCATTCAAATACTGGATACTTTGATTGAGACTGAAGATACATTGGTTTAATATTGTATTCCACTGTATTTCAGCATGGTTTAATTTTAATACTTTCTTCGCCGTAAACAAAATCTTTTATGGAACTAAAAGTGAAATGACAGATATTGGTTATACATCCTGATTTTCTATACTTTTTTTAGTGAAGTGAAGACTATGAATATGAAAATATTGGTTTTAACATGAGTGCATCGAAGAAAAGCGATTTGACGAGATGTACACGATATGAAACGACACGAAACAAAACCATGTATTTTTAACAGAAACGTGATACTTTGTTGAAGCAAATTAATCATAAATTACACAGAACAGAATACTGTAAGTAACGCAATAAAAACGTAATAGTTTAAATAAGGTTCAACTAGTCAAACTAACGGAACGCAATACTGTAAATGTATTTATAGAAACTCTCTATATACTGATAATAAATCGTGTAAAAAACAGTAATCATATAAATGAAATAAAATAAAACGAAAAAGAAATAAAACTCATTACTTTAACATGTACAAAATATGTAAAAACAGACGAAAGCAAACTGAACACATTTAAAACTTGAAAAACACACAATATAACAAATTACATGTCTTGTTAGTTGATTATCGTCTTCACAATGTCAAGCTATTATACGAAGTGCGTCTAATACCTTGATTGCAAAGGCCACTATTCTTGTATCACGGATGTTTGAAAATGCAGCTATTTGATTAGAATGTTCGCTAGCGAATAGAGCAAATCGGAGCCCCGATTACACGCGTGGGCAAAATGTTAACAGTCTTTCTGTCGAGGTCTCTGATTGGCTGTATTCGCTCGCGTACAATCAAATTAAATCGCAGCATTTACAAACTTCCTTGATACAAGAAAGGTGACTAATGATGTCGAGGTTTAAGTATTAGTTATAGTAATAGCTTGACATTGTGAAGATGATAAATTAGATATATTTACTCTTTACTATTATTGTTTTGTTTAAATGTTTTAAATAATGTATTCTGACATGTTATAACGTTAATGATGTCTCAGTAGAATTCACGAAATGATAAATGGATAAAGAAGAAAGAAAATATTTAAAATTATTGTAAATATGTTTTTAAACTTTTAAGTAGTTCGGGGATACTCAAAGCATCAATTTGTACCATTCCAATTTTCAGTAAGACATCTGTGGTTCCTGCAATTCCACTAAAACTTAAGTGTTTGATGACGACACTTATCACGAAGTTTTTATGATTGTAATAAAGTGACATCATCAAACATTTCATTTCAGCGGAATTGCAGGAATCACAGACATCTGACTGAAAATTAGAATGGTACAAATTGATGCTATCACTGTCCCCGAAACACATAAAAAATTAGGAAAACCTCTTTACATTATTTTCACCCTAACGTTTTTTTGCTTTACGGAATTTTTACACCCTATTTCTAACGTTCAGTTTTACCTTTTAGACAATGACGTATAGTCATTGATTTAGAGCCTGTGTCAATTTACTAATACATTTATATTATTCGTATCTACAGTGGCCATTCTCGCTACGCCTGATAATATCCTCGTATGCAGCTGTCGGATAAATTGGACAACTTTCGTCTTCCAATTTTGACATCTGACTAGTCTTTGACACCAAGACGTCTTCTGTCTTCGATGATAGGGCCTTCAATGGAGATAACTAACATCTGACGAACTATATTTTGTAACGCGGATGTAACTTCCGCCTAACTATTAAGGTAGAGTTTCTTCGATCTGCATACGAGGTTATTGTCAGGCGTAGCGAGAATGGCCGCCGTAGATACGATTGATATTTATGTTTCAAAATATACCAAGTTATTTGGCACACCCCACTTTAAATTTAAAGGAACCGATTTGCCATCTGTT